AACAGTGCCTGTATTCCAGGGTCTATAATGTCTAAATAAAAAACTCTATTAACAACTTTCAGGGTTCTGGCGTGAGACTTACGATTTTGAGACTTCTTGGACTCTCACACTATACAAAGAAACCAGCCAGTAAATAGCCACCTACAGTGCTGGGAAAAAGTATTTGCCCCCTACTCATTTCCTCTATTTTACATATTTGTCAGACTAAAGTGTTTCAGATGCTCATCAAGTAGTATATGAGAAAACAAAGTTTTTTAAATTATCTTTTCATTTTTTTGAAGGAAAAAAACTTTTGCAACACCTATATCACCCATGTGAAAAAGTAATTGCCCACTAACTAAGTAACAGGTTGTGCCATCTTTAGCAGCAAAAACTGCAACCAAATGCTTAATTTAACTGGAGATCGGTCTTTCACATCACCGCGGAGGAATTCTGGCCCATAGTTCTTTGCAGAATTGTTTTAATTCAGCCACTTTGGAGGGCTTTTAAGCAAGAACTGACCATTCAAGGTCCTGCCACAGTATCACAATGGGTTTCAAGTCAGGAGTTTGACTAGGCCACTTCCGAACCTTCTTTTTGAATTTATTTGCAGCTCTGGTGTCTGAGATTGCTCTTCAGATTGCTGTCTTGATGCATAACCGAATTGCACTTGAGCTTCATATCACAGACTGAATATTCTCCTGCAGGATTTTCTGGTAGAGAGCAGAATTCACGTTTCCATCTATTATGGCAAGCTGCCCAGGCCCTGAAGCAGCTCCACACCACCACACTACCACCGCCATGTTTGACTGTTGGTATGATGTTGTCATTGTGCCGTGTTGCATTAGCTTTATGCTATATGTAACACAACACCTGTTCTCTCATCAGTCCATAGAACATTATTCCAAAAGTCTTGGAGGTCATCAAGGTGTTTTTTGGCAAATGTGAGCTGAGCCTTTATGTTTTTCTTGGTTCGCAGTGTTTTTCGCCTTGCAACTCTCCCATGGGTACCCATTTGCCCAGTCTCTTTCTAATGGTGGAATCATGAATGCTGGCCTTATCTGAGTCGAGCGAGGCCTGCAGTTTCTTAGATGTTGGTCTGGCTTCTTTTGTGACTTCCTGGATGAGTCGTTGCTGTGCTCTTGGAGGAATTTTGGCAAGCCGGCCACTTCTGGGAAAGTCTGCCACTGTTTCAAGTTTTCCCCATTTGGAGATAAAGCAAGCCTCTCACTGTGGTGCCAGAGCTTTAGAAATGGCTTTATATCTCTTTTTAGACTGATATATTTCACAATTTTTTTCTAATCTCTTACAGAGTTAAATGCAAGATAATATGCGGCTGCTTGTTGAGCCCTTTTAGCCTACATAGCATTGCTAGAAAGGTTCCACTTAAGTGATGATTGATTCAAAAGGGCTGGCAGTAATCAAGCCTGGGTGTGTCTTCTTTAATTGATTCCAACTTTCAACTAGATTTGGTTAATCGCTTGATTGAGTAACGCAAGGAGCACTGCAGCTTCATTCTGATGACTAATGATTGTTTTAAGCAGTGTAATAATGAATGCATGCAAAATTAAAAATATTACTCCAGTCTCACTCCAGTCAAGTTCGCAAACCGGTGTATATATTCAATAGGGTTTTAAAACAACTCACAAAACACCATGAGCATGTAGGGAGGTTTTTCAGAGCTTCATTCAAGTAAATTTTTCATGAAATGTAAGGATTTTGTGAGAAAACTGGCAACAAGTAACAGTGAGAAATTATATAAAATTCATTACGGAGTAATGTTTTTTTTCTCACGTGCCTTAATAAGGTATATTCTTTTTGTACTCTAAATGTTTTCTGAATATATTACTTTGTTTATGTGTTACTGAACACATTTAGGACAATGTATTTAGTATTCAGCCATAGTCCAGCCTAGATTTGTTTTTGACAGTCACTCACATTGATTTCGAGTAGATTTATAAAACACAGTGCAGACTTTCACTGCCTTGATTGTAATTATAGGTTCACTGTTCTTTGTTGTTCTCTATTTATCACTTGTAATATGTAAAATATAACAGAAGCTTTGTGCAACAGCCAAACTTTATATTAACCACTCTCTGTGTGCAATGTATGAGCTCCTAGTTCTGACTGAGCTTTAGTTACTTTGGCTTATTATCAGTCAGTAATAATGGCTAGATCACAGCACTGACTTCACCTGAATATGTTCAGAAGAACTGAACGCAGAATAAGAGGAGAATTTCAGGGTAAAGCATTTGGGTAGCGCTTCGCTGAACCCTGTTACATAATGTTACTATGCTATAAACATGTCATGACAGATTTTGTTTAGTAATATAACAGTGTTATATGACTACACTGCTCTTAAAAATGATTTCTTTAGTAATAGAACCATGAACAGTCAGAGAACCGTTTGCATGCTTAAATGATTCTTTGCATGATGAAATTGTTCCTTAGATTGATGGAGAATGATTTGTATGTGGTTCTTTATAGCACCGAAAAGGGTACTTCTATTGTTATGATGTCAAGCAACACATTTTCCACCAATCTGAAGAACCATTTCACCATGCCAAGAACCATTTAAGCATGAAATTGTCCTATATTTATGTTTCTAAACAGAACCCCTGCCTTATTTGCATATACACACATTCTAAACTTGATCCCTGCAACATGTGCAAAAAAGTTGAGACAGGAGCTTGTTTGTCACTGTATTACATCACCTTTCTGTTTATCAACGTTCAGTAATCATTTGGAATCAAGCAGGAATGTCCCTGAAAAAGACATAGTCTAGATGGCAGCATATGTTGCTTCAAAATGTGTATGTACCCCTCAGCATCAATGATGCCTCCACAGATGTGCCACTTACCCTTGTCATTGGTACTAACACACCCCCACACCATGACTGATGCTGGACTTTGCATTGGTAACAATTGGGATCTTTTTCCTCTTTGGCCCAGAGAACACGGTGTCCATTATATCCAAAACAATTTGAAACATGGACAGACCATGGCACATATTTCCACATTTTGCAGTCACTGCGTTTGTGGGTGTTATTGACGTATGGCTTTGCGTGGTACAGTCTTAATTTGCATTTGTAGATGCAGCGATGAATGTTTTCTGACAAGGGTTTTCTCAAGTATACGTTCGTTACAGAAGCATGTCGATTTTTTGATGGTGGAGTGTCATCTAAAGAATCAAAGGTAACGGGCATTCCATATAGATTTTCAGCCTCGCCCTTTCACAAGGAGATTTCTCTGGATTCTCTGAAACTTTTATTAGTGTTATGGACTGTAGTTGGTGATATCCCTAAATTCCTTGCAGAAATGTTCTTAAACTGTTGGACTGTTCACTCACATAGTTTTTTGCAAATTGGCATCTGAGCCTTTCATGAATGCTAATTTTATACCCAATCATGATACCTATGGACCTGTTTACATGTAAGTTTTCCAAAGAGGTGTTTTTGATCATTCCACAAACTTCCCAGTCTTACATTGCCCCTGTCCCAACATTTTTGGTATTTTTTTGCAATGTGGAATTAGTGCATATTTACAAAACTCAGGAAAGTTGATAAGGTGAAATATTAAATATCTTTTTGTGCTGCTATATTTGTTTAAATATCTGTAAAATATATTCAATCAAATATAATAAATCATGGCTTTCTGTTTTTATTTGTATTTTACCCACTGTCGCAACTTTTTGGGATATGGATTTGCACAAGATGTCTAAACTCTAAAATGTATAACTGGCTAATGAATGAATTGTTGATTATTGGATGCTTGTTTCAGGTTCTAGTTACAGTTTAAATTACAGATAACCATCTCAGCATTCTGGATCCAGAGGCTCTGAGTCACAACACAGTATTTCTTGCTGACCCAGCTGAATTTAAGCTTAGTTCGATCTCTGGCGACCGTGGCAGTGGCAAGAGCACTACTTTTTGACCTCTATAAATGCTTCACTTTCTACATATTTAGGTAGCATGACTTCATTTTATAATGTGTTATCTCTTATGAGGATAAACTTTCCATGCACATCTTTTATTTTATTTGATAATGGCAGCTGCCCCCTTACATTGTGCGAACATTTCTATAAAGGAGATGGATGGAAAGAGATGGAAAGAGAAATTACTTGGAATAAAATCTTTAATGTACATTAAAGATACAATTGTTTTGTCTTTTACCTATAAAGTTAGGCAACAGATGTTTAGTCAAACACACACACACAGACACGACCCAAGCATCTGTAACACCACATCAGCTCTCAACACTCCAGCTAATCACTTCAGAGAACTACCCTCAGTGTCAACCCCCTCTGAGTTCAGCTGCACCAGGAGGCCCAGTCAAACTCAATACACAAAGAAAAAAGTGGTCCCCAGGACGCAGCTGCGCAGTGGTGTCTTTATGCAGCAGTTTCAAGAAATACACATAACTTCTTCAAAGGCTTTCATGGGTGTCCATCAATGAACCAAAGCAGCCCTCACTCTTGAATGTACAGCCTTGTTTATTTAGTAGCTTGCTGGGTTGCTCTGATGGGAGGTCCATGTTTAGATAAGAGTTAAAATAAGCAATTATCTCCATTACCATCAAAGACAGATATGCACCATAAAAGTAGTAGCATGTTGTCTGGGTGACCCTTGTTCCAGAATGTCTGGGAAATGGTTCCATTATGAACTGACACGGTATGATCCCTGTGGTGGAGCTGCGCAGTGGGGCCCACTTTATGGCCCGCTATGCAGTTAGCAAATGACTGGTTAAAAGAGCAATTTCAGAAAATTAAAAGTTATCTGATTCTCAGTTTTGCTTTTTCTGCACTTGAGCTACAAGACTAATTTATGTGAAGGATTTGGACTTAGTTTGCATGATGCTAACAAGGTATACACTTCCTTTGCATGTTAGCTACATTAGCATGGTAGATCCAGCGCAAAACTAAAGAAGCAAACTGATTGATACATTTGAGGAATTTTTAGCCGAGCCATTGTTTAATATCTTTCTCTTCCTCTTTCTCTACCCCTCTCCCCTCTTTTTCCTCAGGAGGAGTGCCGTAACTATATGAAGGTTCTGCTGAGTCAGCATGGTGGTCTTTTTGTGTGCGGCACCAACGCCTTCAACCCACTGTGTGCCAATTACACTGTGAGTGACCCCACCCTGGTGCCCACGGGCTGCGGAATCTCCAGAAAATAATCTGCACTGGCATCTTACTGAGTAAACATGTGGCAAAGCTCAGAAGCCAGAGTGCATAGTTAGAACCACACAATGTACCGCAGTAGTTTCAGTGATTTATGATTGGTTGTAGCGACTGTTATTGGAAACATTTGTCTTGACATTCTGGAGGTTTACACTGTTATCACTGGCTGTGCCCTGCTAATAGCCACTGTTAGCTACTATAGAGTAGGGCTGCACAATATGGGCACAATACTGGAATATTACATATAAGCCTGTTATTACATAATCGCCTGATTACAGTTATTTAAGCAGACTGCAGTTATTTTCCACAGCTGTTAGCTTTCACAATCCTATGTTTATGTCGTAGAAAATACAGAATGTGAATTTCATCAGCTGGGTTGAGGCACATATGTGTCAATTAAAGAAAGCAGAAAACCCAACAACAAACATTCAAACTTTTGGCTTGGTGTTATATCAACTTTAGAGGGCAGCGGTGAGTAATGTTTGTTTATTTGAGCTTGGATTATGTCTGTCAACAGGTGGGAAGCAAGATATCTAATCAGCCAATCTGGCCACTTTTTAGACTTGTACTTTAATAGTTGCATACGATGAACAAAATTTGTTCTTTGACAAAACTGACCATAAATAAAAACAGTTTGCTTAAATAAACTTCTTACAGTATGTAGGCTACAGTATGCACTATTAAATCCAGTGTCCTCAACAACAGAGAGCGGGTTGGTCATCCAAGGCAATGAATTTCATTATTTTTTGGTATTATATTTTTTGCACTTTGTATCTGTTGTTTGTGATCATTTTTTTGCCATTTCAAAAGCCTGAGGTTAAAGAGACTTTTCTGCTTCTGTTGTTTCACTGTATTCTGTTGTTTCACTGTATTTCAATGAATCAAAATATTCGTCTAATCCATTAAAAGTGCATTATGTTGGTGGAAATAATGCAGGTCAAACATTAACCATGTTACATTATTGATTCCTGAAGCATTTCAAATATTGCAAAGTGTATTGCAATTGCAATATGTAGTTAGACCAGTCACAATAACATCATAAAATTTTTGGGGATGCAAAAAAATGTAGGCCGCCGAAACATTATAAAAATGGCACTTTCGGTTTTCGAAAAAGAAAACAGCCTGAGTCTTTTACAAAAGATTAAATCTAAGACTTTACAAATACTTTAGGACATGAAAATGAGAAACTGTGATTAAAATGCTGCTTTTTTGCATTACTACACAGACATGTTCAAACAGCAATTTATAATCTGTACTCATCTTGAGTGCACAGGTTTGATACTAACTAAAAACACAACATCCCGCTCAATAGGCAGAATACAGTGAAACAACAGAAGCAGAAAAGTCTCTTTAACCTTTTGGCTTTTGAAAAGTTAGTATCAAACCTGTGCACTCAAGATGAGTACAGATTATAAATTGCTGTTTAATGTTCCTCACAGAAACTATGAAATAGCTCCACACGGCCAACTTTTTGTTCACTGTTGATCTGCTGCTGCTCAAACTGTTTGAACATGTCTGTGCAGTAATGCAAAAAAGCAGCATTTTAATCACAGTTTCTCATTTTCATGTCCTAAAGTATTTGTAAAGTCTTAGATTTAATCTTTTGTAAAAGTCTAAGGCTGTTTTGAAAGTGCCATTTTTATAATGTTTCGGTAGCCTAAATTTTTTTGCATCCCCAAAAATGTAATGATGTTATTGTGACTGGTCTAACTACATATTGCAATTGCAATACACTTTGCAATATGTTAAATGCTTTGGGGAATCAATAATGTAACATGGTTAATGTTTGACCTGCATTATTTCCACGAACATAATGCACTTTTAATGGATTAGACAATATTTTGATTCATTGAAACACCAACAGAAACTCTACAACTTTAAATCAGGATACTCACAGCACATGTTAAAAACACTATGATTGGTAAATGCTTGGTTTAAGTCCAATCTCTTGCTAATGATTAATAAATAATATATACAATGCAGTCCTATTATACAGTAATGTTGCTGTTTGCTGCGGAACACTTTGTGTTCGAGGTTTAAGCTTCTTTTTTCTCTCACCAACAGATTTTCAGCTCATTTGTGTGAGAGAGTGTGTCAGTATATGTGAGAGAAAGTCAATTTTATATCATTTTTTAATAGTGTTTCACACTGCTTGATCTGTAGGCTTATGTGAAACTCTGAACCAACACTAAAGCTTATTGATTTAATCTCTTGTATTAGATAAAAAAAGACTAAATGCAGTTGCCTCTTTTGTCTATATATTGACAGAGAGGGAAAGAACAGGAGATGAAGTAGGTTGACTGTTTTTCAGTCTAGTGCTGGGTGAAATATCACAGAGCAATACTGGCTTTTAGTTTTAGTACTGATTCATAAAAACTTAGTTAACTTTAATGTACGTCATTTGCTGAGTGTTTAGTATTGTTTAAAAAAAACAAAAAAACAGTTCAAATAAATGGTAAGTTTCCTTCCTTTCAGTAGTCATTAATGCTAACTCACCACGCCATGTAAAATGTTTCCTCAGTAGGCCATGACATCAGCCAGTTGGATGTCATCATGCAGAAAGAACACAAATAGTCACCTGCAAGTTTGTTCTGAGCACATACATTGCTGTGAAAAAGTATTTGCCCTTCCTGATTTCTTCTGTGTTTTCATACTTGTCAAGCTTAATTGCTTCAGATCTTCAAACAAGATTGAACACAATACAGAGACAACCTGTAAACAAAACTAAACAAATAAAATACAGTTTTTAATGATGATTCCTTTACTTATCCATTACAGAACTTATCCAACACCAACTGGACCTGTGTGAAAAAGTAATTGCCAGCTTAGTTATTCACTCAAAAATGTAACCAAATGTAGTTGATAATTGGGATCAGCTAACCTAGACACACCCACACTTGATTACTGCCAGCCCTGTTGAATCTAAACATCGCTTAAATAGAACCTTTCCAGCAATGTTTGTAGGCTAAAAGGTCTGAACATGCAGCACACTCTTTTGCAATCAAAAAACTCTCTGGCAGAGATGAAAAAGAAAGATACTGAAATTTATCAGTCTGGAAAGAGCTACAAAGTTATTTCTAAGGCTGTGGGACTCCAGTGAAATTGGAACAGTGATGAGTCTTCCCAAAAGTGTCCAGCCTACCAAAAGTATTCCTCCAAGAGCACAGCGACCACTCATCCAGGAAGTCACAAAAGAGCCCAGACATGTTTGTCTAAGGAACTGCAATCCCCGTTCACCTCAGACAAGGTCAGCGTTCATAATTCCACCTTTAGAAAGAGACTGGGCAACCATGAAGAACATAAAGGGTCATCTCACACTTGCCAAAAAACACCTTAATGACCCCAGAGTCTTTTGGAATAGTGTTCTGTGGACTGACCGAAAGCATTCCACAACAAGAACATCACATCAACAGTCAACTGGTTGTCAGTTTGGTTGCAGTCGTTGCTGCTAAATGTGGCACAATCCATTATTTAGTTTGGTGGGCAATTACTTTTTCTCATGGGTGATAGAGATGTAGCAAAACATTTTCTGTTTCCTCATGCTACACCTTTCTTAATTTTATATGAGGATCTAATACCATTTATTGCAACAACTATGCAAAAATAGAGGAAATTGGGGGCAAATACTTTTTCACAGCACTCTAAAAATCATCCAAAGCCATGATATGTTTGGAAAATATATGACAATGAATTGGAACAATGTCACCCTGCATTATCTCATTCAGTGTGTCAGTAGTTGGATCTCAGTGCGAGCTGAATGATGTCAGATACAGATTTATTTTTAGAACTTTTTTCCAGCTCCATCTCAATTCCCAGTTGGTCACAGCTCGGGGCTACAATGGCTGGTTGGGGAAATGGGATTTGATGCATGTGCAGTTTGTTGCCACCAGTCAGTAAGTGCTATATATGTGTCTGTGTGTGTGTATGTTCAGAGAGACACTCTGGAAATGGTTGGAGAGCCCATCAGCGGGATGGCCAGATGTCCGTATGACCCCAAACATGCCAACGTAGCTCTGTTTGCAGGTAAACATGCACAACCTCCAGCCTGTCCTACAACATTTACAAATTAATGCTTGCTAAAGCATTTTTGTGGTAATGTAAAAACATCATAACTAAGGTTTGTTTACATCATTTACATTATGTGCACATTTCATAATGAATGGGCTTTTAGAAATGCTCCAGAATTACTTGGAATAAAATTAAAGGGAATGTTAATGGGGAATTCCACTGATTTTTCCATATGTCTGCATAATTAAATGGTCAATATTTAAACAAAGTCATTCTGAGTAGTTTGTTGTGAAATGCTCCATTCTAGTGAGTCAGAATCATGGACAGAATTACTGTTCACAATGGTGGTCATAGTAACCAGACATCTGAAGAGTTCAATGCCTCTAAGAGCTCCCTCAAAGAAAGTTTTTGCATGAAAATGGTTATTAATAGCCTGCATAATGCCTTAGACGTTGTTTTAGGATAGTTTTGAGAAAAGCTATTGGGCAAAATGTAATTTTTTGGCATAGAGATACATGCAGGGCTGTGTAAGGCAAAATAGTACAAAAAGAAAACTTATATTTTCAGATTTATCATAATTCTTCCATTATCAAAATTACATATCAAACCTCATACAACATGTGTAGGATCACTGGTGGTTTGAAAGTGAAAAAAATATATTTGCATGGTGGTCACTGCAACCCCTGGTTCCTATCACCACCACTGTAATGCTTCAATAAGCTTCTCTACAAAAAGCCATTTCACATTAAACTGCTCTGTATGACTTTACACCTCACTAGTTGAATTATGCAGAAAATTTGAAATAGCGGTGGAATTCCCCTTTAACACAAATCAACCAGCCACTTCAGTAAGTACACCTCCTTATATCTACACTCTCTGTCCATTTTATCAGCATACAAGTGCACTTTGTAGCTCTAAAAATACAGACCGTGGTCCATCTATTTATCTTCATACTTTGTTAGCTTTCTTTTATCCTCTAGTCAGGAGCCTCACAAGACCACAGAGCAGGTATTATTTGGGTGATGGATCATTCTCAGCACTGCAGTGACACTGACGTGGTGGTGGTGTGTTAGTGTGTGTTGTGCTGGTACGAGTGGATCAGACATGGCAGTGCTGCTGGAGTTTTTAAACACTGTGTCCACTCACTGTCCACTCTATTACACACTCCTACATTGTTGTTCCACCTTGTAGATGTAAAGTCAGAGACAGTAGCTCATCTGTTGCTGCACAGTTTGTGTCACAGGACGCTGTTGCCTGGGTATGTTTGGTTAGTGGACTATTCTCCGTCCAGCAGTGACACTGAGGTGTGTAAAAACTCCAAAAGCACTGCTGCGACTGATCCACTCAGACCAGCACAATAACACACTAACACACCACCACCACAGCAGGAGTGCTGAGAATGATCCATCTGCACTGTGGTGGTCTAGTGGTTCCTGACCGTTAAAGAACAGGGTAAAAGGGGGCTAACAAAGCACAAAGAGATGGTCAACAGTCTGTAATTGTAGAGCTACAAAGTGTATCTATATGGCAAGTGGAGCTGATAAAATGGACAAAGAGTGTAGATACAAGGAGATGTGCATGATGAAGCAGCCGCTCGATATACATTATACTTAATAACATTTTTTCTTCCCCTGCAAAGTCACAATTTCAGAGATATAATGCTTTCTTTAAAGAGTGATGATTTGAAAATGCACAAAGCCAGTGTAATAAAGTTACATTTCTTTTTTTATTAGATACACACAAATGAAATTTTCATTACAGAATTGTTTTTAACTGTACAGTTATGCCTCTTAATAAGCTAAGTATTGCGATTACACATTTGTTGGCACTTTTTATTGTGTAAAGCCAGGTTTTGAAGGGTATGTCACATTTCTGTAGCACTTATTGGTGTCAGTTTTTATTGATACATTACACTGTGTCATAGTATCGATCCTTTCCTCTGGTAACTGACCTCTGTTCTTTGACCTTTGGCCCAGAGGGCAGCCTGTTCACGGGTACAGTGACAGATTTCCTGGCCATCGATGCTGTAATCTACCGCAGCCTGGGAGAAGGCCCAGCCCTCCGCACCATCAAACACGACTCCAAATGGTTCAGAGGTGAGTCATTCTCACTGGGGAATTTTGTGTGCCACAACTGTGCTGTGCTGTGCTGTATCTGTGTGTCAGTCGGCCTGGACATTGATTAGCAATAAGTCATATAAGGACAAAGCAAAAATGAATTTCACACAGGCACCTCACTAAGATTATAACACAAGAATTACATTGCTTTTGTCCTTTTAAAGTAATAGTTGAGAATCATTTGTCATATTAATCATTTTTGTCATTTTATATACAACTCCAATTCCAAAAAAGCTGGGATGCTGTGTAAAATGTAAATAAGTAAGTGTAAATGAAAACAGAATGCAATGATTTGCAAATCTCATAGACTCATATTTTATTTACAATAGAACATAGAACACATATCAGATGTTGAAAGTGAGACATTTTACCATTTCATGAAAAACATTAACTCATTTAGAACTTGATGGCAGCAACGCATCTCAAAAAAGTTGGGACGGGGCAACAAAAGGCTGGAAAAGTAAGTGGTACTAATAAAAAAACAGCCGGAGGAGCAATTTGCAACCAACTCACATGACTGGGTATAAAAAGAGCATTTTAGAGAGACAGAGTCTCTCAGTAGCAAAGTTGGGTGGAAGTTCACCAATCTGAGCAAAACTGTGTCTAAAAATTTGGAACAATTTCAGAAAAATGTTCCTTAACGTAAAATTGCGAAGACTTTGAATATCCCACCAATTACAGTGCATAAAATCATCAAAAGATTCAGAGAATCTGGAGAATTCCCTGTACGCAACGGGACAAGGCCAACAATCAATATTGGATGCTTGTGATCTTCGGGCTTTCATGCGGCACTACATTAAAAACAAGCATGATTCTGGGCTGGAAATCACTGAATGGGCTCAGGAACACTTTCAGAAATCATTGTCTGTGAACACAGTTTGTCATGCAATCCACAAATGCAAGTTAAAGCTGTATCATGCAAAGAAGAAGCCATATGTCAACACGGTCCAGAAACGCCACCATCTTCTCTGGGCCAAAGCTTATTCAAGATGGACTGGGGCAAAATCAAAAAGTGTCCTGTGGTCAGATGAATCAAAATTTGAAATTCTTTTTATTTACTATCCAAACCAACAGTGAACCTACAGGTGTCCTCTGAGTTTTTCCATGGAATGATGATCATGGTTTACTTCCCTGCACATATCCCCACCACGGATAGACTAAAGCTTTATCTCAACCTTCTTGTAAAATAATATATCAGGCGTTAGGCAGCATATTCAAAACCATTTAATGAAACAACTTTGTGTGATGTAGCTTTTAGAGGCATTAAACTCTTCTGATGTCTGGTTCCTATCAACACTGTGCACAAATCGGACTGGGTTTCTCTAGAACAAAGCATTTCACACCAAACCACTCTGAATGGCTTTGTTCACATCTCAACCATTTAATTATGCCGACATTATAAAACCTTAGATCTTTTCATCTACACTTGGTATTGGTTTTGGTATTCTAACCGTGATGATTTTGTGTTTTACTTAATTTGTTTATCCTGTAATATTATATTTAGTAGATGTTTCGTTGTCTTTCTAGTCTTAATGACTGATAGAAGTGCATGTAACTGCTGTTATGTGATCTTGAGTTCATGGTGTGGTAGTTAAACAGTACTACACTTGTTGGGACTGTAGGAAAAATGAACATAAAAACAGACAGCAATGATTTGACCCCTATTCAATTATAAACAATACACAAACAAAATATTTAATGTTTCAACTAATTAACTTTACTAATGTATATATTAACTTATATATTTAATTTGATGCCTGTAAATCATTGCCGGCTGTTTTTATGTACATTTTTCTTATGTTATGTACAAATGTAATAAAGCTCCTTTACAGAGTGAAAAGAGAGTAATAATCACAAAAGGTCGAACCTGCACTTATATACATTCAACCGACTGACTTCTTAGTGACAAAGATCTATTTGGAGTCTTTGTAGCTGTTCTGTATTGAGAAAACAGCTACAGTCACTGTATTAGATCATATGTTCCACTGGGTTAGAGAGAGAGACCACAGAGCGCTGCCTGAACGTTCCCTCCGTGACTGCTGATCTGTTATGCTATGCACATACACTGTAGTGGTTTTATCTGTGGCTCTCTCTCTCTCTCTCTCTCTCTCTCTCTCTGTTGTGGTTACTGATTCTGTTGCTACAAATGGAATAGTTGTAGCTCAATTCTATCAATTCTAGATGATAGTCTTTATTTATTTGGACTTTTATTTATTTGGACTTCATAGCCACCCCGGATTAAAACGCCCACCCTCATTTCTTTGTGTGTGTTTGTGTAACAGAGCCCTACTTTGTGAGTGCTGTGGAATGGGGACCTCATATCTACTTCTTCTTCAGAGAGATGGCTATGGAGTTCAACTACCTAGAAAAGGTAATTCATCACTAAACATAAATCTTCCTGCTTAAAGTAACAAAAATGAGAACATCCTGCTGAAAATGCTGTACGTTCATGTACTTGGCAGCTCTGTGCTTATAAACTACCATTTTCATTGGAATATTTTATCACACTAACATTTTTGTTACTGTATGTACAATAATAACTTCTTATAAATTAGACACAACAGTACTTAATTGTTGTTTTTTGGATCAAGAAGTTATTAACTCTCCATTTCACGATGTTGCCGCAGGGCAACAAATCCATTTTTCTCACTTTACAATAATGAGATACATATTTAACAATAATAAATGGGTTAATAATGAAGGGAGGAGTTTGAATAAACCAATGAAAAGGTTGTACTTGGTCACACCATCTCCTGGTAAGCATTTTCTGTCACAGTGCTGCTTGTGGAACATTGCAAGTGAAGGGCCATTTATGTAGCCATTTGAGAGAACACTACAGTTATTGTTTTTTTTTATGTACATTTTTTAATTAAATTTTTTTTTAAGGAAACTAACTTATTTAGTATTTAATGTCTTGCAGCATTAGTGGCAAGAAGTACATTCCAGTCAATTCTGTCAGGAAGCAGTGAGCAAGCTGTATGTTTAACCAGTGTCATTGGCTTTGTTAACATTTTTAGTATTTAAAGATCAGTTTCATTCCAAATATTTAGATGAATAAAATCTTGTTTTTCATTTGACACTCTGTACCATTTCCTTACATTGTCATACAAGGTTGCCTCAAGGCAACATACATAAATGTCCCCTACACACAATATTTTTAATAAAACTTTTTTGGTCGGTTTTACACAAGAAAACTGAATCTTAACTGAAAAGTGAATTTTAGAATCACTTTTAGATCCATTCATTACTTTGGACACATGTAAAATGTCTTTTTTAATTAACTATTTAATATCTGTGAAGTTGTACAGGACTAGCATGTTACAATCAATTGTACAGTTATCGGCAAGAACCTTTTTATATTACTGAAAACATTTACTCCAAACTTTTTAATGTTAGTGAACAATCCCTTCACTGCATTATGTATGTGTGTTTCAGGTGATGGTGTCCCGCGTGGCGCGTGTTTGTAAAGGTGACTTGGGAGGTTCTCAGCGTGTGCTGGAGAAGCAGTGGACATCGTTCCTGAAGGCCAGGCTTAACTGCTCCATTCCAGGAGACTCCCACTTTTACTTCAACCTCCTGCAGTCTACCAGCCCCATCATACGCATGCACGGCAGAGACATCATACTCGGGGTCTTCTCGACACCCCCTAACAGGTACACAAGAAGTTATAACCAACGTTTTTGGTAGATTTCTATTGTACATGATAGATTTATAATGTACTTTTGCTTCCAGATTATTTTAGGCTTCCTGTGTTGTTCAGATTAGTTTCAATAAGGGCTATCTATCTAAATTAAAGCATTAATAACATGTTAATGCGGTACATTATTAACGCTACAATTCTTTTTTTATGTTGTGACAGATGTTTTAGTGTGCCCTTCAAACCATCCCTAGCAAGGCAGGCTGAAGCCCAGCTGCTTGCACTCTTTATGTTGCTACGATAGAGTTCTTGTTCAAATACAATTTTTAAATGGATTTTAAAGTGATACCTTCAGTATGTTTGGCAGACTAGAGCAAACTAACAAACTGGAGCAGCGAAGTGGAACACTCCAGTTCCTCTTAAGAGCCTCCTCTGAATCCATGAGCTGTATGAATCAGAGTGAGAGGCTATAGTCACAGAGGAGTTGGACTGTATACATGATATATATGATATATACACTTATTGGCTGGAACATGCAGCCACTGTTGCTCTCACTGGATGTCAGCGATGAAAATGGGAAATTGTGTTCACTCTATGGAAATTGCATGATTTTCAGGTTTAGGGTTGTGTGAACTCTGCAGTCCAATCATATGCAGTTGTATGAAAAGCTAGAACACATCCTCTACAGGTAGGAAACTAAATTTGGCACTTTGCTGCACAGTTTCTATTTATTTGCTGAGTTTAACATATTGGAAAAAAATATAAAATGTGTCATAACTTTTACAGGTCACATTTTATATGTTACTTTATGTTTAATTCAGCAAATAAACAGCAATAGTGCATTAAAATGTGCAGACGTCTGTTCCCTATAGAGGATGTTTTAACTTATTTTCACTTAGTAAACCAAAAGAAATGTGAAATCTGACCAGGAGTGCCCAAACATTTGCATACAACTGTAGCTATAGCAAAATGCATTGCTTTTTAAATGGAAAAAAAAAGATTTTATTGGAGTGAAGTTTGAGAAAATAAAACGAATGCCATTAGTTACAGTTTGCGATGCAAAATAGTGCAATACATTGCAATTCATTATTTTAATCATTTGGCACTATTTTGTCCCATTTTTTATTTCTAGATACTTTAGTGTTAAGTGTCATAATAATATAATATACAGTTTAGTAGCCACTGATATACACAATATGCTGTGTGTTGACATTTTATGGACTAGATTTCATTTCTCATCTAGAAAATGCAACCATTTTCAGACTTTCAGAAAAAAATCCCCTTTCTTGTACTATTTAATTTAGTTCTAATTGCAATAAATTACTTTGTATAAATAAATAATAATTGTGTTAATCATTTTCAGTTTAGTCCATTATCATTGTTATTTTTATTTTTAGTTCAGTATGTGAAAACAATTTAATGGTAACAGTTTTTGCTTTTTTAGTTTTGTTTTAGTTTTTGCATTGTTATTATTGTTGTTTAAATAATAAACAATATCAGTAGCTTCATTTTAGTGTACCACAACAACAATAATAACCACAGTAACACGTACACAGAAGCACACAAACACACAAGCACGACACTGAAGCACACCCCCAGAATACATATAAGCAGAGGATGCAACGTTACCCTGGAACAAATTATACAGAGATGTTTTGAAAAGGGCATTTATGGCAAATGCCAGCGATAATAACATTCATAACAGAGGTAGAACGAGCGAGAGAGGGACATAGGAAGGACATAAGCACATAAACTCAGCGATAACCCTCATCTGCGGCATCTGGTCCTGAGCTGGACGAGAGGGCAGTAGATCAGACACTCTGAGGCATGTGGAACGGACACAAAACGTCTTACAAATATACGCAGCCCTTCATCGTGAAAGTGCAGCTTTTATATTGACGTCCAACGTCTCCTTGGCAACTGGCAGCCCTTAGTGCGAGGTTTCTACCTTACAAAGGCCCAAAATGGCTGCCGCCTGAAAGTGCCACGAGTGATCGGCACTTTTGCACCGCGAATCAAATGTCTCCTTGGAAACTGAGAACAGTGTTCTATTCTGGCACAGTCGCACCTGAAAACCCCCCTCAGAGGAATAAACGTATTAAAATGAGCATGAAATCAAGCCGGAGCATGTGTGTTCGGCCCGGCTGACACAAACGGCAGCAGTAAAAGTATAATGTACTTTCCGTAAGTGTGACACGTCTCACAATAGCGCTAAAGCCCATGAATGTTGAACATAAAGCCCTGTTGGAAGAGATACACCTGCTAAGTGGAAGGATAGAGAAGAGCATGGAGCTTTGCTGTTACAGAGACATGAAGTGTGGGTAATAAGCTGTAGTCGGGGGGTTATAAAAACAGATGAGTCATTCTGGCAGTTTGATTCAGAAGTGGAGATTCACTCAAGTACCTAATAAATGTCAAATCACAGGCTTTCTTCTTCCGCTGCTTCCTCTTTCTCTTCCTCTTCTTCTGTACAACTAAGCGGCGTAGGTTCCAATTCAACTTTGCACTGTAAAGAATTTCTGTAATTTCTACAGTTAGGTATAATGTTCAAGCAAAAATTATACTTTAAATGCCCTTTACAGTTCTATACAGCATCCTGTGTTAGGCTGATAATACTGTATTGTACTGTACACTCTTAAAAATATGTTTTTTCAAGAGTTCTTTAGTACAGAAAATTGTTTCTATATAGAACCATGAACACTTATAGAACAATTTGCATGATTAAAAAGTACTTTGCTTTGCAAAAGTGTTCTTCAGATTGATGCACAATGTGCTATAGATGGTTCTATATAGAACCTTTTGAAAATTACAAATTACACATTATAATGTGTTATGAATGTGTTCATAAGTTCTTATAGACATGGTTTTCATAGAAAGTGTTACCAGTATCTTTGTATGCTGTAGCATTAACCTTACCCTTCCCTGTAACTAAGGGGCCCAAACACTGAAAAACACCAACCCATTATCCCTCCTCCACCAAACTTAACTGTAGGCACTATGCATTCCAGTAGGTGGTCTTCTTCTGGCATCTGCCAAACTCAGATTTGTCCATCAGTCTGCCAGATGGTAAAGCATGATTCATCACTCCAGAGAACACTCTAGCTGACGCTTGGTATTGTACATAGTGATCTTAGGCTTGTGTGCAGCTGCTCAGCCGTGGAGATCCATTTCATGAAGATTACAACACACAGTTCTTGTGTTTATGTGGCTTTCAGAGGCAGTTAGGATTTCTATAATGAGTGATGCAACACAGGGTAGGCAAATGTTACACGCTACACACTTAAGTACTCAGCTGCTCTGCTCTGTGCATTTTCATGGTCTAATAATATAACAACCAAAAGTGATTACAACACACTGTTTCAAAGTCTGGATATGAGAACAAATTATTGGACATTTGTAACTTAAAATTTCAAGGCAGCCCAGTAACTAGTTAAATAAATAAAGTTTGTTTTTTTTTTTGCAGTGGTGCTTTTTTGCTTGTGGTAATCTCCACAAATTAGCAGTTAAAGCTGCACTATGTAATTTTTGGGGATTTGAGGACCTCTCTGGTGGAAATGTGTAACTGAACACAATGAGTGAAAGATTTTTTAGCATTGATGGACATTGTTGGATGTTTATGAGCACATTGAAAGAGTATTCAAAGAGAACTCAGTCTAAACTTGATGAAGGTTATGTATTCTAAGGATGTTAATGAATGAAACTATTGTCATCATATCTTCATCTTTATAATGTTGAAAGGTTGTAGCTACAGGCTATGAACTACAAAAGCACATTAGCTCGTGTGCATTGATCTCAGCTGAAAATGCGGTTTTGACAGGAAACACGGACGTATTGCTGGCGTAATAGTTTGTATTAAAAATAAGTTTTAGGCCAAAACTTTATAACAAAACTATCACAAAACAATGTCTCAGGTATCAAGCAACACATCTATAACCATTTTGTGTAATAACTTAATGGGACATAGCTTTTAGAGCCATTAAATGCTTTGCACGTCTGGTTCCTAGCACTGTAATGTTGAACAGTTCTGACCTGGTAAATTTCTCTGGAAAGGCACATTTCATACCAAACCACTCTGAATGATTTTGTTTACATCTAAACCACTGAATGATTAAGTAAAAATCGGTGGAGCTCTCCTTTAAGATCAACAGACAAAAAGTTATTCACATGCATCATTTCTTTTCTAATGCTTTATTTGCTGACAGCTTCACTCTGGTCAGGTAAATATTACCCCAGTCTCTTGAGATAGTTGCTGTCCACAGCCCACTCTTCCATGAACTGGGTTCGCATTTCACTTCAAAGCTTTTTTTTTAGTTGAGTTAACTCAACTTTAGGGCATTGCTGAACTCCCATTCCCTCAAGTTCAGTCAGAAACGCTGTGAAGCGTGTTATTTTTACCCTTGTGTTATGTTTGGGTCAAAATGACCTGTTCGTTAGACATTTAAACCGAATCAAAAGCGAAGTACATCCAGTACTAAAAACCAAACAAAACACAAGCATTAAAATGTAAAGTTTAAAGTTGCTTTTTTTTCACAGTGTATGTGAGGAATGCAATTATTCTTGTTTACACTCTCCACACTTTATTAGAAACACCTACCTTGTACATAAAGCTCACCACTTTATGAGCTCCACCTACCTTATAGGTCCACTGTGTAGGCATACAATTATGGACTGTACATTGGTTGTTATGTTTGTAATCTGCCCTTTACTCCATCCATCACTGGTCAGTTTCTGACCAGGACTACCGTCGACCAGATATTATTTGGGTGGTGAATCATTCTCAGCACAGCAGTAACACTAACCTGGTGTGTGTGGTGATGGTATGAGTGTGTCAGACACAGTGGTGTTGTTGGAGTTTTTATACATGTCAGTGTCACTGCTGGGTTGAGAGTGGACCATACACCACCCATAAATACCCAGCCAAGAGTGGCTGTGTGGTCAGAAACTGTTGAGAACGGCTAACACAAACCGTGCATCAACAGATGGGCTGCAGTCTATGTACACCTACAGTCTCTGTAT